ACAAAACAAATCAGTGTTAAAAAATTACATACAAAAAGGCATGGGCAAAAAACTCAAATAAAACACTATAGGCATCAGAAACATTGAAATAGAATAGAATAGAATAAGAGTTGGAAGAGACTTTGGAGGTCTTCTAGTCCAACCCCTGCTTAGACAGGAAATCCTATACCAGGGGTGTCAAACTCGATTTCATTGAGGGCTGCATCAGGGTTGTTTGACCTTGGGAGCCTGGTTGGCCATGGCCAGCTCAACATCACTCGTGTCAGGGACCCTTGTGCTGGCTTGAGTGCTTGCAGCCCTACCGAGCTCCGTTTTCACTGGCAGAGGGTTGCAGGAGACCGTCGCAGCCAAAAACGGAGCTCAGGAGGACTGTGTGCATCCTCTGGAGCTCTGTTTTCACTGGCAGAGGCACTGCGGACCCATCCTTTACTGTTTCAAGGGCAGCCCTGTGGGCCAGATCTACGCACTCCATGGGCCAGATCCGTCCCCCGGGCCTTGAGTTTGACACCCCTGACCTATATCATTTCAGACAAATGGTTATCCAATCTCTTCTTTAAAAAAATCCAGTGTTGGAAAATTTACAACTTCTGGAGGCAAGTTATTCCACTGATTAATTGTTCCAACTGTCAGGAAATTTCTCCTTCTCCTAGTTCTAAATTGCTTCTCTCCTTGATTAGTTTCCACTCATTGCTTCTTGTCTTGCCCTCAGGTGCTTTGGAGAATAGCTTGACTCCGTTTTCTTTGTGGCAGCCCTTGAAATATTGGAACCACTGCTACCATGTCCTTCTTTTCATCAAACTAGGCATATCCAATTCCAGCAATGTTCTTTATATGTTTTAGCCTCCAGTCTCCTAATCATTTTGTTGCTCTTCTCTGCACTCTTTCGAGTCTCAACATCTTTTTTACATTGTGGTGACCAAAATAGTTTAGTTTAGTTTAGTTTAGTTTATTTGATTTGTATACCGCCCTACTCCCGAAGGACTCAGGGCAGTGAACAGCCAACAATAAAATACATAAATACACAAAATTTAAAAACCCGATAAAATCAAATTAAACTTTTTGGCCCAGACAAATTAAAATACCCCAATAATTTAAAAACAGATTAAAATTTACATATTTAAAAAGGGAAGAGATCAGGCCAAGCCCGCTTGATGGAATAAAAAGGTCTTCACAGCACGGCGGAAGGAGCGCAGATCCGGGATCCTCCGTATCTCCGGGGGGAGCTCATTCCAGATGATAGGTGCCCCCACAGAGAAGGCTCTCCCCCTAGGGGCCGCCAGTTGACACTGTTTGGCTGACGGCACCCGAAGGAGTCCCTCTCTATGAGAGCGTACTGGCTGGTGGGAGGCTATTGGTGGTAGTAGGCGGTCCCGTAAAATAGAATGGTTTGATTTTTTTTTAGAGAACTACAGCAAAGTGAGGATGTATGTGTCTATGTGTGTGTACACATAACTTCTAACTTAAAAACAGATCTGTTGGGAGGACATGGCTAGTGTCATGGTCGGATGACGCGTCCCTTGGGCACTTTGGGGGACAGCGCTGAATCCAGCTGCCCAACAGTCTGTTTGGATTGGAATCGCCTCGAAGGAGTGAGGAACGAAGAGAGCACGCTCTGCCGATCTCAGGGAGTCCACAAACTCCCTGATTGATCCAGAGAAGGCTCCCAAACCCGACGGAATGGAAAAGGTGACCATTGCATGCTGGACCAAAGCTGGGGAAGCTACAGGAAGGAAGCACTGAAGAGAGAGACTGTCAGTGTGATCGATCTGGTGAGCGATTTCCAACTTAAGACTTTTTTTACTAGAATTGAATTAAGAGTCCTCCTGGGAAGTAGGTCTCCAAAAAGGAGGTGGATTTGTTTTTTCTTTCCACCTCCCCTGTGAAGCGGTGAGAAGAGCTTTTTAAGCAGTTTTTGGAACAGGAAGTGAGGCTGGAGAAACTTTTAGAAAAGAGTGAAAATACCTTTTATTAAAAGCTGGATTGGATATCTCAAATATATTTTGGGATTGTAGAAAAGTTTGAATTCCACAACACTTGGATAAACTGATTTGTCTTCTTTGCTACAATTTCAATTTATTTTTCCCAAATATTAAACCGGATATACTATTTCAAAGAAAAAGGATAGGAGGAAGAGAGAGTAGCAGAGTCAGAATGCCATCTACTGACAGAAGTTGGAAGTGGAGATTGGGAGCTGCAGCTGCAGCCAGCCTTGAGAAATTGTGTAAATAAAGATATGAATTGACTATTAGAAATAATCTTGGTGTTACAAATTGGTCAGATTGAAAATTGAAATAGAGAGAGTAAGACTGAAACATGTTGTTTTTAAACAGCTTAGCTCTTGAAATTCAAAGGGAAAAAGGCAGTAAAAGACTTTAATTTTTTTTCTTCTTTCTCCTTTTTTTTCTGGCTCTGTGAACTCTGAATACTTTCTTAGGCAATACAAAACAACTGGGTTTGGTGGGCCTATATGGATTACAATTTATTGATGTACTATCCTTTTTGACTGGATATTAAAGGATTAGGGTCTGAAGAACCAGAAGAAAACAACAAGCAGAAGAAAGGGGGTCAAAACATTGAAAATCTTGGAACCTTTGGATTTTTAGATTATAAGTGATTTGTGGTTTTACTTTTGGTTTTTTTGTCTGCTCCCTGTTTTCTTTTCTTCTTCTTTTTTCTTTCTTTTTTTTGTCTTTGGGTTATAATTGGATACTTGGATAATTGGGAAGTATTTTATCAATGGTTGGAGAATAAAAAAGGAGTTTGGAAATGAAGAAGGCTAAAAAATAAATAGAAAATACATTAAGATAGAGATATAAATAAGATGAAAATTGTTAGTAGATGTATGATGAGAATAATGATGTTTAATGTTAATATAGTATTATCACTAGAAGATATTAAGAAGAAAATGGAAAGCTTTACAATGTTTAATTGTTTAATATACTATAACATTAAGTTTAGAGAAATAATGTGAATGTGAATGATGTTGTAAATGGTGAAAGAAGTTGCATAGAAATGCTTGTACCCAGACAACACACTGCTTAAGGAAAGATGGAATGTTTATCTTTGTAACTGAAAAATATATATATATATATATATATATATATATATATAAAAAACAGATTTGTTATAAGCTAGTAATATATCATTAGCAAGTTCAGGATTTAGAAACATTTTATTTGCTCAACCCTAGTTAGGATAGAGCAGGGGTGTCAAACTGGCGGTCCGCTGGCCAGATGCGTTACGTGCAGTCCACACCCACCCAAACTCTGTGAATGGGAAAAACGTCACCAAACATCACATGACAGCAATGTGATGCAGTGAGTTTGACACCATGGGATAGAGCTATAACCCAAAGTATTCTATATTCAAAGCATTACTGGACTGAAGTATAAAATTTTAAACTTTTTTTAAAAAGTTACACATTTTAATAATGATGGTCTGATTATTTCTGTTATTCTATAGCAAGCAATGTTTTTAAAGTTCGGTATTATTTTAGCTCAAGTATGAATGAAAACAAATCAGAAAACAATTGTTGTTTATACATACAGATTAATATTATCAAACTAAATGGAAGAATAAAGTGAAAAAAATATATACTTTGTCTCCTTTCCCTTCTTTTCCAGCAGCATCAAACCTTTGTGAGAATCTGTCATCTTCCACACCACTAATATTCAAACTCATTTTAGGATTATATGTATGAGGATAAAGAGATTCAGCTAATCGTTTGTATTCTTGTGCACTCTGGGAAGAAAGAAAAGGTCAGATAAAGAGATTAATGCCACCACTTCAGAACAATAAATGGATAAATAAATAAATATTGTTAATAAATATTTTCTTCTTTCCTGCCTAATGGATAATAAACAAAGGATTACTTTTTTACCCACAGAAAGTTCCAGTAAAGATGAATTACTTAAGTGTCCTAGATCACAGCCCCCAACCTTTTGGGCACCAGGGACTGGTTCCGTGGAGAGAGGTTTTTCTGTGGACCAGAGTGGGAGTAGTTTTGTGTGCTGCCTGCACCCCACCAATGGAACTTTGCTTGCTTGTGCAGTCCAGTTTCTGGCATGCTGCGTACCTATGCCATTCTTCGGACCAGGGGTTGTGGACCACTTCCCTAGATAATCACTAATCAAAGCTCACTTGATCAGATGCATGAGATTAGAAAAGTAAGAGGCAGCCCAAAAGTGATGTACCATATTTTTCGCACTATAAGACACTCCAGACCATAAGACACACCTAGCTTTTGGGGAGGAAAACAAGAAAAAAAAATCTGCCTCTGCCTCCATCTCCCAGCAATTTGTCTCCTTGCAGTAAACAGCAAACAGCCTGGTCAGCTTCAGCACAGCCTGATTTAGCACAAGCAGCTGATTGGTGGTTGGATCAGCCTCCCAGAATACCACCTATCAGCTGTTCCAGGCAGTGGGGATCACTGCCACCCACTACCACCTCCATGCGCCCCATTTTCAGCCTCCGCGCATCCCATTTCCAGCCTGTTCAACAGTGGGGATTGCCACTACCACCTATCGCTGCTGCGATCCCTGTCGCCTGGAACGGGCCAAAAATAGGACATCCAGAGGCCAAAAATGGGGTGCGCGGAGGCAGCGGTGATCCCTGCAACCTGGAACATCTGATCAGCAGTATTCCGGGAGGCCGATCCAACCGCCAATCAGGTGCTCGTGCTAAATCAGGCTGTGCTGAAGCTGACCTTGCTGTTTGCTGCAAGGAGGCAAATTACTGGGAAGCAGAGGCCGAAGGGTGGGAGCCGGCGGGTGGGCAGGGCATTTGCTCTATAAGACACACAGACATTTCCACCCACTTTTTTGGGGGAGGAGTGCGTCTTATAGACTGAAAAATATGGTAATGCAAGAAGAAATAATTTATTACACTTCTGATCCCATCTTTCCAGTCTTATCTTTTGGGGGAAGGAAAAAAATTAAGACTTTAATTGCGTGACATCATCATCTCCATTATAGTACTGCTGCCGCTGCCACCAATGCTACTATTGCTGAAGAAGGAATGCAGAATTTCTTCATTCAAATACAGAAGATAAACTGTTTCCAACGCAGGTAATTTAAGTCTTTATTCTGCAATTCCCAAACCAAGTATAACATTTTTATTTCTGTCACATTTAAGGTCTCAAATTAATCAGTGGCTTTTCACAATTCCCACCATTATGAACCGGTTTCCTTTACCTTTTATGGAAATCACAGCTATCATATTATAAAATGTCTACAATAAAAGTAAAACAAATAACAAAATAATTGGAATGGAGATGGGCAAATTATGGCCCTTATTTTAAAAGGACATAAACATAGGCACACATAAAAAGAATGTACTGTATGAGTCTTTAAAACAAAGAACAGTAAAAAAGAGAAAATCATTTTTCTTTTGAAGGGACCATGTATGGCTAATTTTATTTGTGCAAGTTATATCCTTCCCTAGCAATCTACTAATTAGAGGAGGAAGGAAAAACAGACAGTGTTTGTAAATTAGAATGAGATCTTAGATAATTTTTGCGTCAGTGGCTTGTCTGTTACCTAAGATTCCACTGGACTCCAGTCCCTGAGATATTTTTGCAACAGATTTTATTTTTAAAATTTTAATTTAAACAAGTGTGCTCCACTGTTCAAATACATTCTTTGATTCAGAAACTTCAGTTCTTACTTAACAACATCTATTGTTATCTTTTTAGGACAGTGCTTCATTAGATGGCGAAGAAACAAGATGGCATCAATGAAGGAAGCATTGTTACACACAGGAAGAAAAGTTACTATTAAATTAAAATAAAACGGTAGGAGGTGGAGAAGGAAAGATAAGTCATAGAAAAAGAAAAAAGATTGGAAAAAGGAAAAGGAGAGGAAGATTGGCGAAATTAGGAGAGAAAGAAGCCCAACTGCATCCAAGAGGCCTACCCAAGAGACCAGAGGCCCATTGAAATGAGGTGAGTGGAGAGGCAAATTGCCTGAGGGCATGCCGCAAGAGTAATTTGGAGCTAAACAACTGAATAAGAGATAAATGTTATGAATTAGTTAAATAAATGAATTTAGGAGTGGAGGAAAGCATGATTCTGGAAATCAGTGAAAGCAAAGCTGTGACCCAGTTTTACAAATAAGGTAGGAGTGGAGGAAAGCATCATACTGGAGAACAGTTAAAGTAAGTTGGGAACCAGTTAAAAATAAAAATATAAGTTAGGAGTGGAGGAAAGCATAGCTGGAAAACAGTTAAAGCAAAGCTGTGAACCAGCCAAAATATTGAGTTAGGAGTGGAAGAAAGCATACGCTGGTTAACAGTTAAAGCAAAATTGTGAACTAGCTAAAAATAAAAAGTTAGGAGTGGAGGAAACTATACCTGGGGATCAATTGAAATAAAGTTGTGAAGCAGTTAAAAATAGGGGTAGGAGTGGAGATAAGCATTGCTGGAAAGCAACTACTTGAGTTGTGAACCAGTTTTATAATAGATTTAGGAGGAGTTAAGGAGAAGGTTGGTGTGCAGTTAAAATTATACTGTGAACCAGCTAAAATAATTAAGATAAGGAGTGGAAGGAAGCATTGCTGGAAAGCAGCTGATTAAGATGTGAACCAGCTAAAAAATAAATTTAGGAGGAAGTGAAAGAGATTTTACCAGAGAATAGTACCTAAGCTGTGAACCAGTTTAAATAAATACAGATAGGAGTATTGGAAAATACAGCTGGGAAATAGATATTTAAACTATGAACCAGTTAAAAATTAGATTCAATAAAATATGAGAATAAACTTGAAATAAATAAAATAAAGTATTGTGGAAGTAACAAACTATAAAAGGAAATGTTGATTGTTTATGAAATGACTTTAAGAGAGGAGGAAAATACTTTTTGTCAAGATTATGGATATTAGATGTCATTTAAGAGAAGTAAAATATAGATTTGAGGTAATGGGTTTTAGGATTGAGGAATATATATGAAACATTGATTGTTAAAATGATAAAGATTTAGAACAGTGTTTATTGCTTAGAATTTTGGGTGTAATAGTAGAATGATAAATGTTTAGAATAAGATTTTCTTTCTTTCTTTTTTTTTTTAAGATGTAAATTGATAAAATTTGGAACAAAATTGATTGAGGGAATGTGAATAATTGTACTTATTTTATGCCGGACCAAACCCTTGCTCTAAAATGATATATTTTATGTTTTATGTTTAAAAAAAATGAAAAAAAAATGAAAAAAAAAACCAAAACCCAACCGGCAGTGAGCAAGTGGCAGCTGCAGAGCAGGGCAGAAAATCAGCTGTGGGATGGAGAGGCCAGCAGACCGAGGGCAGCGGAATGACCAGCAGAGAACAAAGAGGTGCAGATGAGAGAGTAGAGCAGGGAAGAGAGAGAAGATAGGTAAGCTTGCTGGTGATCATCCAGGCAGTCTTGTTTGCTGGTGGAAGCAGTGTCCCCAGGGCAACGGACCAGCAAATGGGAGCCACATAGCTGCAGAGCAAAAAGCAGTGGCAGCGCAGCAGAGAGAAGAGCCAGCAGCAGGAAGGGGCAGCACAGTGAGCTAGAGCCTGAGAGCAGTGCAGAGAACAACGGGGAAAGATATGGTGGAGCTGAGTGGCAGGCTGAGCATAGACCAGATAGTGGAGCTGAGCCAACTGGAAAGCTCAGCAGGCCAAGAAAGCTGACCAGAACAGAGACGAGGCCAAAAAGACCCGAGCACCAAAAGACAGAACAGAGCTGGCAAAGAAAACAAGAGGCCAGAGCAACGAACAACAAAAGTGCAGGCAACAATTTAAGTCTGAGGTCCCAATAGGCAGGGAGGAAAGACCCCAGTAGAGAATAAAAATAAATACAAAACAGAAAATAAAAGATAAATAAATAGGCAAATAATAAGGACAAGAGTGGAACACTAGAAATTAAGGAAAAATAAGTTCAATCAAATAAATAAGGCAAATCTTAAATAATAAGGTAGGGAGGAACAGCAGCTCAAAAACTTTAAAAATATATAGGGAAGAAAAGGATAAATAAAACTAACATAAGCAAGTTAAATAAATAACAAGGTTTTAAAACAAGCACAAAAAGTCATAAAAAAGGATAGGGGGGGGGAAAAAAAAAAGAAAAACATAATTTTTTACCTTTAAAAGAACCAGCAAAAAGAAACAAACTCATGGAACAGGTGACTGATACTATTGTGGTATGCAATATATGTTCCATGTTTGTGCTTATGAGCAAAGAACATCCAAATTATAAATGTATTAAATGTAAAATTTGTGAACTACTAGAGGAAAAAGTAAGGGATCTTGAGGCAACTCTAGCCAAACTCCAACCTACGCAAGAAAGCTATACCCAAATCAAACCAATAATGAACAAATAATTCCCAGAGAATTTAACCCTGCTGATAAACCCTTGGAAGACAAATGGAAGTTTGTCACATATACCATGTTTCCCCGAAAATACGACCTACCCTTAAAATAAATCCTAGCCTGTTTTTTTGGGATGGGCCTAATTATAAGCCCTACCCCCAAAATAAGCCCTAGTGAAGTGGGTGGACTTGGTACAACAGTCAGCCCTTCCCTTCCCTGGTCACCTCATGGCTGCTCAGCCCCTTAATCACAGCCTGTGGATCAGCTGAGCCAGTGAGAGCCGCGAGTTCTGTCTCTCTGGGCTCCTGGAGATATTTCTAGCACATTCTTGCTAGCCACAGCCCTGCCCACGGCACCAGGCATCCTCACAGTCAAAGGCCCTTCTATTCTGCAGCTCACCTTGTGGCTCTGGAGCAGGCGGTGACCACAGTTTGCACTCCGCCAGGCTTGGAGCTCGGGTGTTGCTGTTGCTACAATGAGGCAGAAAGCCATGCGGTCCGTCGGAATCAATTCCCACACGCCTCTACCCGGATGCTGCTGCTTGAGAAAAGGATGATCAGCAGGCATTTCTGGAAGATTGTGGGAAGCGTGTGCTTATGGTAGAAGCAAAGCGCAGCCTATCCCTTTCAAGCAATCAAATGTCTCTCTCTCTCTCTCTGTGGGTGTGTATGAGGGAGGGAGGGAGGGAGGGAGGGAGAGAGAGAGAGAGAGAGAGAGAGAGAGAGAGAGAGTGAGAAACAGTGGAGGGGAGTAACAAGAATTGCAGGCAACACTGTTTGAAAGTCTGTCTGTCTGTCTCTCTCTCTCTCTCACACACACACACACACAAATGGCAGACGGCAACTGGGTAAGGTGACTGAGCCTCCCCCGCCCAAAAGCAGCATGCAGCCTCTCACAGTAACAGGAATTGCAGGTAATTCTTGAAGATTGTGGGAAGTGTGTGCTTATGATAGAAAAAGCACAGCCTGTCCCTTTCAAGTTATCGCTTGAGAAAAGGACAATCCCCCTCCCCATTTTCCTGTCAATTTTCCTTTTCTCAAGCGACATTTGATTGCTTGAAAGGGACAAATGTGTGTTTGTGTGTGAGTGAGTGAGTAAGAAAGAGAGAGAAACGGTGGAGGAGAGGAAACCCTTTCAAACAGTATTGCCTGCAATTCTTCTCTCCGTTGTTTCTCTTTCTTTTTCTCTCTCTTTCACACACACACACACACACACACACACACACACACACACACACACACAGACATTTCATTGCTTGAAAGGGACAGGCTGCGCTTTGCTTCTATCGTAAGCACACACTTCCCACAATTTTCCAGAATTGCCTCCCGATTCCAACGGGCCACATGGCTTTTTGCCTCATTGTAGCAGCAGCATGAGCAACACCCAAGCTCCAGGCCTGGTAGAGCACAAACCGTAATTGCCATCTACTCCAGAGCCGCAAAGTGAGCTGCGGAAAAGAGGGGCCCTCAGCTGCGAGGTTGCCTGATGCCATGGGCAAGGCTGGGGTTAGCAAGAGTGTGCCAGAAACATCTCCAGCCGCCTGGAGAGACAGAACTCCCAGCCCTTGCTAGCTCAACTGATCTGCAGGCCGTGATTAAGGGGCCGAGCAGCCATGATGACTACGCTCATCGCCTCCTGCACCTCAAAAAAATTAAGCCCTCCCCCCCAAAATAAGCCCTAGCCATTTTTTGGGAAGTCAAAAGAAAATAAGACCGGTTCTTATTTTCGGGGAAACATGGTAGAAGGAAACACAATAATCAAAGAAAGAAACGGCATACATCTAACAAACTCCTACTGCCCAATCTAACCCAACCAGAAGCAGCCCCATTAAAACCAAGCAATTGATTTCTCCCCCTAGATGAAAAAATGCAGACCCACAGTCTTCCCCTCCAAGAAAACATGCAGACACCTAGAAAAGAGGCAGCATCAAATATTCCTTAAAAAGTCACATCAACAAACTCACCTGAGATAAACAGAAAAGCACCCCAGACTGCACCCCCCCCCCAAAAAAGGAAGGCAAGTGTTGGTGATAGGAGATTCTATTCTCAAAGGAAGAGAACAAGCCATCTGCAGATCAGATATACCATCTAGGGAGGTATGTTATCTCTCTGGAGCAAAAATCAAAGATGTGGCTGAGAACCTAACCTAAATAATTAGGCCCACAAATTACTACCCTTTCCTCCTCCTTCACAGTGGGACGAATGACACAACGAAAAACCTGAGTGCAATATTGAGAGATTATAAACAACTAGGCAACAAAGTTAAGGAGCTAGGAGCACAAGTGATGTTCTCATCAGTATTCCCAAGAAAGGGCAACACCCATTGAGGGAAAAAAGAATTCTAGAAATAAACCACTGGCTAAAGGGTTGTTGTCACAAGGAAAACTTTGGTTTCCTGGCCTGCATTACCTTCAGAAAGGACTCTTGGCAAGGGATAGGCTGCACCTCACAGAAACAGGAAAAAATGTACTCAGAAAAAGACTGGCCCAACTCATCAAAAGAGCTTTAAATCAAAGATAAGAATCGATGATTAAAAAAAATATATGGATTTTTAAAGAATTCAAATCAGATTTTTAAAAAAATCAAATTTATTTTAATAAAATGCTTTTGGAGTAAAAATCTATCTAAAGATAGTTTTCTATTTAAGATACATTAATAATTTAGTTTATTCAATATGAAATGGAGCTTAGTTATGTAGAATGAGGCTATTTATTCTTCAATACTGGGTCTGTCAGTGAGTCAACAGCAGGTCAGAGGAGGAGCTGCTGTGGGGCAGATATGATAGTTGCTCTTTAAAATAATGATTTTAAACGATTTGATTTAAATCAAATCCATCCTGCTTTAAACTAAAATTGAAGGAGGAGGGTGACCAATCTTTAGAATCTCTAGAACACAAAACCAACCCTAAATCCCAAGAAAACAAATCAAACAATGAGGTAGGGAGTGATGAGAAAAAACCTCAAACAACAACTAAGAGATGCAAGAAACATACCCACAGACAGGCATAAAAGTCTTAAATGCTTATATACAAATGCTCAAAGCTTGGGGAACAAATAGGGTGAACTAGAAGCAATAGTACACGAGAGTAGATACGACATAGTTGCCATTACAGAAACCTGGTAGGACGAAACCCATGATCGGAATGTACTGATGGATGGATATAAATTGTTCAAAAGAAACAGATCAACAAAAAGAGGTTGAATTGCACTTTATGTAAGAGATCACGACACATCTACAGAAATGCACATGATGAAAGATAAAACCCCTCCAGAATCTATTGTATTTCCCCAAAAATAGGACATGTCCCGAAAATAAGGCCAAGCCTGATTTTTGGGGTGGGCATAAATATACGCCCTCCCCCGAAAATAAGCTCTAGTGAAGGGGTGGGTGTGGCCAGCACAGGAGGCAACCCTTCCATTCCCCAGTCACTTCCTGGAGGTTCAGCCCTTAATTGCTGTCCACTGATCAGCTGAGCCTATGAGGACTGTGCAACTTGGCCCAGATCTCCAGAACACCTCCCCAGCTGCCAGCCTCCTCCCCCTTTTCCTGCCGATCTTTTTTTACTTGGGATCGGAGCACAGACACACATCCCCAAAATGCTCCATCTGAAGCCTTCAGCCTTGCAATTCTGGAAGGGGCATCTGTGTTGTGATCCCAAAGAAAGAATGGTGTGTGTGTGTGTGTGTGTGTGTGTGTGTGTGTGTGAGAGAGAGAGAGAGAGAGAGAGAGAGAGAGTGAGAGAGAGAGGGGTGGGGGAGATGAAGCAGGTGAAAAGTATTTGAGCGCCCAATAGGCGTCGGCCTGCATTGTCAAATGTTTGGACTGCTGAGTGCCGGCCTGTATGCCTATTTGGTGCTGCAGGGGCCGGGGTACAGCTACGCTGAGCCAGGTGCTTTTCGGACCCTGGCGGCCACTGCAACTCTCATGCCAGCTCTGCGCACAGCTGGCCTGAGAGCTGCAGCACCCACCAGACCCAGGACTGTAGCCTGGCACCTGCAGCACCAAGTAGGCGTCCAAGCTGCCACTCAGGAGCCCAAAGAAGATACCTTCCTGCCGTGTCCAGCTGGGGAGCGGTTCCCAGGGCTGCCTGATTCTCAACCAGCTGGCTGCATGGTAGGAGGGGGCTTCCTGAAAGAGAGGCTGGGTAACATAAAGGGGCTTTTCCCCCCAAAACCCTTTCAAGTGCCAAGCTGCAGGCTCCACCCCAGGGAGCCTCAATCGGGGCCAAGCTCTTGGCAACCGATTGAGGCAAGACCGTTCTTGAAGGGAGCATGAGACACGTGGGGCCTCCTGCTGCTTTTGCAGCCTCAATCAGCTGCAAAAGCAGCCGTGATTCTTGCTGTCTCTTTTCTCGCTGGGCATGGCAGGGCTTCCTGCTCCTCGCTTCTCCCCCTCCCCACCCTTCCTCACCTGCCACCTCCAAATTGTGCCCCAAAATAATAAGACGCCGCCAAAAAATAAGGCCAAGCCCTTATTTTGGGCTTCAAATATATATATATATATATATATAAGACAGGGTCTTATTTTCGGGGAAACACGGTATATGGGTCAATATAAAAGGGAAAAAAAGTGACTGCCATACGTGTATATTACAGATCACCCAACCAATCAGAAGAAATAAATGAATTCTTTGTCAACCAGTTAACATGTATGTAGGAAGCATACCACAGTAGTAACAGGAAACTTTAACTATCCAAATATCAACTGGGAGACTAACTCTGCAGCGAATGGGAGATCAAATGTATAAAGAGAGGCATAGAATCAAGATCACGTGAAGTATTAGTACCGCTTTATAAAACCCTAGTAAGACATCTGGAATACTGCAACCAATTTTGGTTATCATACTACAAAAAAGATGTTGAGACTTTGGAAAAAGTTCAGAGAAGAGCAACTAAGATGAACAAAGGCCTGGAGCCTAAAACATATGAAGAATGGTTGCTGGATTTGGGTTTGGCTAGCCTAAAGAAAAGGAGTATTAGGGGTGACATCATAGCAGCATTTCAGTATTTGAGGGGCTGCCAAAAAGAAGAAGGGGTCAAATTATTCTCCAAAGCACCAGAGAGCAGGACAAGAATCAATGGTTGAAACAATGGAAAGTAATGAAGAAGAAAAGCAACCTGGAATTGAGGAGAAACTTCCTAACAGTGAAGACAATTAACCAGTGGAACAGCTTGCCTCCAGAAATCGTAGGCACTCCATCACAGGATGTTTTTAAAGAGTCTAGACCAGGGCTGTCAAATTTGATTTCAATGAGGGCCGCATCAGGCTTGTGGTTGACATTGGGTGGCTGGATGAGTGTGGCCAGGATGGAAGTAGTCAGCTTGACATAGCTCGTGGCTGGGGGCGCCTCTGGTGGTCCGGGTGGGGCTGGGGGGATCCATTGTCTCCAGCAGAGGAAGGCGAGACCATGGCGAGCACCAAACCCTTATCCACCAGAGCAGCCTTGCCATCCCTCTTAGGCCACACGGAGGACCCCCGGACAGCAGCACAGGCTGCCCGGAGCCCTGGGCAGTGGAGGGTCCAGCCTGCCCATACTTACACAATGGACTGCCCGGCTGCACACCTCCTCCTCGAGGCTGCTGCTGCTGTGCTCGCTCTCCTTGGCCAGGTTGCTCATGTGTGCAGGAGAGCAAAGTGCATGGGTCAGAGGGAGCCCACCCCTCCATGTGAGGAGACCCAGCTTTGTAACCAAAGCATTTCAGCAATAGGACCAGGAGAAGTCAGGAAGAGGGGACAAGGGGATGGCGAAAAGGCAGCAAGGCTGCTGATGGCCAAGTGCTAAGACAGGACTTTCCTCAGACCCTCGCTCCCTCTCATTATAATTTCCTTCCTTCCTTCCTTCCTTTTCCTTCCTTTTCTCTTCTTTGTCTCTTTCCTTCTTTTTTCTTCCTTGCTCTCTTCCCCACTTTCCTTCTTTTTTCTTTGTTTTTCCTGTCCCTTCGTGATACATTTCTTGATGCCTCCTTGCTATGATCAAATGCCACGTTTGCTATTAGTTTGTGGCCATTTAAAAGACTGAGAACAAACCAAGCTCAGCTTATTCCATGCTTCTGAAGGCCCTCTAATATCAATCCATAGTCCACGTGCTACCTGATCCCTCTGCTCCTTTCATGTGATAGATCAAAAATGCTCTTGCCTTTTTTTTAGTAAACAAGTTATGAACTGCATAAGCATGCATAGTACATTGATAAATTGCTTGTATACATATGTTTATTAGAAGACTCTAGATCTAAGCTAACCAAAGTCAGAAGAGCCACGGATGTCAGAGATAACCACTCTGAATAGCAGTTTGTTGAAAAAAGATAATGCTATGCCACTATACTGATTTATAGGAAGAGACTGGGAGACTGAAGGAAGAGCCACGGTCAGGGTAATGGTCAGGTAAGAGGCAGATTAACATGCAGTAGGAATGTGGCAAACGTAAGAATACACTCTCCCTAGTTTGTTGAACTGTAAAGGTGAAATGGAGAAACATACTTTCAGATCTGCAAAATTCTGTTCATGTAAACTTTTAATAAATTAGAACTAGTTCCTTTGATGTGCTTCTTGTCGGAATTATCTTGCAAGGCTGACATCAGCTCAATCAGTCCCTATAGATCACAGGTGTCAAATTTGTGGCATCACATTGCAGTAACTTGACGTATCACAACGTTTTTCCCCTTCATGGAGTTGGGGTGAGCGTGGCCTGCGAGTAATGCATCTGACCCGTGGGCCACCAGTTTGACACCCCTACTGTAGATGATCCATTAGAATAACTGGCCAGAAGTTACTGAATATCTCAGTCCTCATTTCTCGATTGTCAGCTGGAGAAAAATCTAGCTAGGTATTTGCCTCAGCCCACATTTCTGTATCTTCACTGCAACTCAGCTTATTTGATGACCCACAGTTCCTTTATATTGATGTTGCATGAGCTGTTTTTATGAAGAGTTCTGCTTCCATTTGTTCATCAGAATTTAATTGGATTATAACTGTCTGCTGAAGTTGTCTCCATGTTGGAAATTCCCAGAGCTTGTGTGCAATCATTGTGGGGGCAATATCAGCACAATGCCAAGTTGTTATACCTAGCTATCCTTCCTTCATATTTCCACTGATTGTTATGAGAGTGCTTTTCTTTTATCTTGCCAGGTTTCTAGGGCAGCCCTCAGAAGAAAAAATAATCAGCATCACCTGGATAGCACAGCATCCTATTCGGTTCCCTAACAGTTGAGAGATGGTCAGAAGGGATGGGAGAAGGTTTACTATGCAATATTCTTCAATTCACTACTCTTCTTGCTAAAGCCTTTCTTTTTTTTTTAACCAGGTCAATAGGCTAGAGATGATGGCAATGCTACTGTTCTCCTGAAGAAGGCAAAGTCAAAGAGCAAAAAGGGTTTCCCTTCAAGGAATAAAATTATTTTCACTTAAGAAAAAAGTCAACCTACCTAATTGGTTCCATCAATTCAATTACAAATAATAAACATGATTGGAAAATGCGTATGTGTGCACTGATTGAACTGCCAAATGAAATACGAACCAGATTATTAAAATATTGAATTTCTATATTCACGGTCTACAACTGCAATGTAGTATGTGTAAAACATATGCCTAGTTCAGAAATACATGCAAATTAAAGACAAAATGTCAGCTATCTTACTTTATATTCAAAGTTTTTAAAAAACTTCCTTGATTTGGCAGAACTTTGCTGATGAAAGTATTTCCAAACCATCCCTTTCCTGTTTGCAGCCTTTCCTATGAACGTTAAGTGGATAGTCTGCCAACCTTCTGTAGTAGAAGGGGACAGAGGCAAATAACAAACGGGGATAAAACCATATCTCTATCCTATCTGCTAATGAAAACCTCAGAGTAACCAAAGAACCTTTCATCAACTTGTTCTTAAGAAATCTTAATAGGTTCCCACCTGCCTAGACAATTTTTGTCTAGATTCCTACAATTCCAGAGCATCTTTTTTCAAGGCTGGTCCCAATTGGTGTTAACAGGGAGCAAAAGATCCAGCCCACAACCACTTTTTTGTGGTATGCTGGAGGGCTTGATGCTCTCTCGTCTCCTTTTTAACATCTATATGAAACCACTGAATGAGATCGTCCAATACCATGGGATGAGGTATGATTAATATGCTAATTTAACTCAACTTTACATCTCCATCCAAGGTGACCCAAGTGATGATGCAGCTGCTTTCTTGCAGTGCCTAGAGCAGTGATGGCTAACCTTTTTTCCGTCGTGTGCCAAAAGCGGGGGGAGTGAGGGGGGGTCGCTCGCACACGGACCCCCCACCTTAATTCATTGCCCCTGCCCCCCGTGCATGTGCGCACAACCCCCCACCCCATGCTCCCCTTGCTTATGGTACGGTGAGCCCGGTAGGCCTTTTTTTCACCCTCCACAGGCTCCAGAGGCTTTCTAGGAGCCTGGGATGGGCAAAAACAGCCTTCCCCACCCCCCCAGAGGCCCTCCAGAGGCCGGAAACAGTCCGTTTTCTGACTTCTGGTGTGCCCAGAAGATCCAAAAATCAGCTAGCCAGCGCACGGCTGATGAGCTAGGGCAACGCTCGTGTGCACACAGATATGCGCCACGTGCCACCTATGGCACATGTGCCATAGGTTTGCCATGAGGAGCCTAGAGGCTATGGGTGTCTATATAACTGGATTGAAAAGATTTTGGGATTTGGGAGTTTATCATTTTTAATTCTGGATATGGTTGCAAGGGGGAGGGGGTTCTCTTAGATTCACAATACCTGTTCAAAGCGCAGTTGGCAATTGTGGCTAGGAGTCTTTGCACAACTACCGTATTTTTCAGAGTATAAGACACTCCGGACTATAAGACGCACCTACCTTTTTTGGAGAGGAAAACAAGAAAAACAAATCTGTCTCTGCCTCCCAGCAATTTGCCTCCTTGTAGCAAACAACAAACAGCTTGTTTCAGTTTCATTTTCAGCACAGGCTGATTAGCACAAGAAAAAAAAATCTGTCTCTGCCTCCCAGCAATTTGCCTCCTTGAAGCAAACAGCGGAGGCGGAAAATGGGGCACGTGGAGGCAGCAATAGGCAATGACAATCCCTGCAGCCTGAAACAGCTGATGGTCGTGAGGCCGATCCAACCAACAATCAGCTGCTTGTGCTAATCAGGCTGTGCTGAAGCTGAAACGGGCAGTTTGCTGTTTGCTGCAAGGAGGCAAATTGCCGGGAGGCAGAGGCCAAAGGGTGGGGGCCGGTGGGTGGGCGGGGCTACATTCAGTGTATAAGACGCACCCAAATTTTCACCCTCTTTTAGGGGGGAAAAAGTGTGTCTTATACTCCGAAAAATATGGTATGTACCGTGTTTCCCCAAAACTAAGACATGTCCCGATAATAAGCCCAATTGTGCTTTCAAGCACATACGCTAAAATAAGCCTCCCCTGAAAATAAGCCCCCCAAATACTTAGACACATGCATGGGGGGGAAAGTGAGGGGGAACATCAGAGCCACTGCCGCCCGAGATCAGCAGGCCAGATTCGGCGAGCCGGATGCACCGCTGCCACTTGGGAGAAGAAGAAAGAGGAGGCGCTGCGAGAGCGCCCATTTCTCATGTTCTTCTCCTCTCAGGTGGTGGCAGTGTGTTCAGATCCCCGAATCTGGCTTGCCGATCTCGGCTGACGAGGGGGAGTGGCAGGTGGGGAGGGGTGGGGCGGTGGAGAAGCGAGATGCATGGAGCGAGACAGGGCTCTCCTTGCCATCTCTTCCCCCCCCCCTTGCTAGGCATGGCAGGAGCTGGAAGTCAGGTAAGACACGGCAGAGAAGCTAGACATGTGTCTTACCTGACTTCCAGCTCCTGCCATGCCCGGTCAGCATGTGATGGAGGAAAGTCCGTTTGTCCGTGGGGAAGGGTGGCTGGCATGTGTCCCACAGGTGTGGCCGGCCACTGGGTGGGGAAGAGAGGGTACCTCGAAGCCCAGCCAGGTGCCCGCTCCCGCTCAGCCCTTGAGATGCTCTGTCTTTTTTTTTTTATTGAAAAGTTTTTATTTTATAAACAAGCATACATACAATATATAATCAATCAATCAGTGTATTATCTGAATACATAACATTTTCCCCACATTTACTTTTATATTTGTACCTTTATCTATTCAACAATTTTATCCCAATCCAACCCTCTCCCCCTCCCCACCCCACCCCCTGACTTCCCAGAGCAAAAACAGGGTATAACATTTAACAAGCAAAAGCTAAAATATACTAACCTACTACAAAGTTTAAAACTCCCTCACACTCTTTAACTCCTCTTTTGCAAATTCATCAACCTCCCTTTTGTAAATTCTCAAAATCAATTAGGTTAAATTCTTTCTTCCTGAATATAAAAACCTTTTTCTTGGTATGTAATCCAATAACTTTAACAATATTACAAGCATTAACAAACACTGATAAGTTTCATTTTCATCCCTCAAACACCTTTCTTTTTCAACATTGCTCCCTAATAAGATTCTAAATTAAACATTTATCCTCTTTATTCCTTCATAAACCAATTATCAATTTCTAACTATTCAGCATTAAAAATTCTAAATTAAACATTTTACAACTTTAAACATTTTATCACCTATACCTTTTAAAATAGTATAATTTTATATTAAACATTTTAAAAACCTCTTAATGCATCAATAAGACCTTCTTAATTCATTTCTCAAAATATAAATTTCAAAACATTCAGGAAACTATCCCTTAAATTTTTAATTAACCATTTCTATATTTTTTCCAGTCCTTCTTCCTCAATCAACATTGCTCTCTAATAAAGTTCTAAATTAGACATTTATCCTCTTTAATCCTTCATAAAATTAAACATTTAAAACTTTAAACATTTTATCTCATATACCTTCTTAAAATACTATAATCTTATATTAAACATTTTAAAAATCTCTTAATACATCAAGACATTAAGTCATTTCTCAAAATATAAATTTCAAGCCCTTCAGAAAGGTATCCCTCAAATTTTTAATTAGCCATTTTAATACCTCAATAACTCTTAAAAAGCTATCATTTTTACCTCGATAACTCTTAAAAAGCTATCATTTTTTTGTCCAAAACCAATTGTAATAACACACTTCCTTTATATTATCTTAGAATAAACTTTAAAAATACAAATTTAATTAAGCTTCCCAACCTATTGCCAAAATCCTCCCCAAAAAAGATTAATCTTCAGTTCTTCTCTTCTTTCTGTATTTTTTCCAGTCCTTTTTCTTCGATAATCCTTTCTTCTTCAGCATTTCTCCTTCTCCTGCTTTTATTTTCGAGAATTTTAAAATTTGGATTTGAGGTTGATGTCTCTTTGAAAGTTTTTGTCTTCTTAAAGTTATTTCATTTAATTTGAAACCCCCATAAATCTCTCTCAAGTCCTCCTGATTAAACTCTTCCAGATTCCTTTGCTTTCCCCTCTTGGTCTGGAAAGCATCCTTTTTATCCAAAATCACATTAAACTGGATTTCTGCCCCATCTTCTTCCAACAGTTCACTACTGTCTAACAAGCCTTGAAATGATACTATATTCTCCTTTGTCTCCATGTTTTGAGTCAAAACAGTTTCCTCTTCCTGAGACCTTTCATCAAAAAAACCTTTAAGACTTTCCAGTAAAGCAGTGGTTTGTGACTCAAAAATTTCATGTATTATAACTCTTATTTGTATATTTGCTGGTGCGTGTAATAATAGTCCTTCAGCACTTTCAAAGGTACCAGCCATTTTCTTTTTTTCAAAGTCCAATTATTCACACAATTTAAAAATGTAAATTAGTTGAAATCAATTCCATAGTCTTTTGCTTTCCGCTTCCACTTTAAATCTTTTTCTTAATGTGTAATCCGGTAGTTGTTAACAATGTTGCAAACGTTAAAGCACTTTCACTGGTAAGTTTCGTTTTCACGCCCTCAAGCACCATTTTCCCCTTTTTTAAAACGGAGTTAAAGCTCAATACTTGCTTTTTGTCGTTCTCCTGATTTTGCTCTGCCAGCATCCAAAGTCATGATGTCTTGTAAAACTTAAAATTGCATTGCTGGTGTGGTCGCTATGCCTTGGTCTGCAAAAGGCAGACTCACCCCGGATCCGGAGCTAACAAAGGGCTTTCAGGGAGCTCTCAACCTGCAAACCCCAGACTTAAAAAGAAAAAAACCTGGGGGTCTAGGAGAGCTCTACACAGACCCTTCTGCTCTTCTCTCCCCCTTTTTCCCAGGGGGAGATTTTTTAGCCGCTAGACAGCTGGCTTTCACTGTTCTAGCGGCTATACAGATCACAGGGCTGGAGCTCCTACAGGAGCGTCCGTTCGGTGTTCGCGGAACCACCGGAAGTCGAGATGCTCTGTCTTGAGGTGGCTGAGGCGGTCACTGTGGCTCTGGACAGTGAGCGCAAGCAGTTCATACTTGTCCCGCAGACCAGCCAAGACGGTCAGCATTTCCTTGAGGGGCCGTGCATGCACCAGCATTCCCAGGAAGTCATTGTTGAGGCGGCTCTCCTTGTGGCTCTCGTGCTCCTGGCCCTGCTGAAACTTGTTTTCCAGCTTCCCCAGCGACTTGTCTGAGTTGGCAGGCACGAAATAGTAATGCAACGTCCAGTTGGACATCTCCGGCTAAAGCGAGCCATCGAAATAGCCATGGCACAAGCTGATCAAACAGCTCAGCAGCTACATCGAGAGGAGCCCCAGCAGCATCCCGGGGGTGGGCGAGGGAAGCTGCCCCGACACCCTAAATGTCCCGAAATGGAGGAGGGCAAAGGCAACTCCGGTCATGCCTAGTTTCAAGTACTCCAGTTGTGGCTGCCTTTCTTGTAGGGCTTCATTGGGACCCACTCCACTGTCGCTTGGCCCTTCTCGTTCCCTGCGGAGAGTTCTCCTTTGCACCTGATTTGCCCGTGAGAACTTCAGAGGTTTTTTTATGACCTGATCCTCACCGGCAATGCTGCGGGCAAGAACTAGCCATGCTATCCCGCTTCAGGGATAAGACCCCTGATAATAAGGCCAAGGCCATATTTCAGGGGTCAAAAGAAAATAAGACCCGTCTTATTTTCGGGGAAACACGGTACTAGTTAAGCCAATTCCTGGGACACCCTAGTCATCCTTCAATTGGATTACTGCAATGTGCTCTACATGAGGCTACCTTTGAAGAGTATTCAGAAGCTACAACTGGTACAGATTGCAATGGCACAGAAGTTCTAGAGGCCCCTTATATGGCAAATGTAATACTGTTCTGTGACCTGCACTAGTTGCTAATTTGCCTCAAGGTCCAATTGAAGGTGTAGGTCTTTACCTTTAAAGCCCTGTATGGTATGGGTTCAGGGTATCTGAAGAGCTGTCTCACCTCAATGGGACTAGCGATTCCACTCATGTGAGTGGAAGAGGCCAACTTCAGATCTTGTCTGCCAAAGGGTCCAGAAAAGCCTCTGACAGAAGATCCCCACGTTGCTCATCCTCTTGGTTTAATCCTTAATTTTAACTGTTTTGTATTATCTTTTTTACCTTTTTATTATATTTTAAGCTGCCCAGAGTTGCTATATCAGAGAGATGGATAGCATAAAATTTAATAATTAATAATAAATAAGTAAAATAAAATAAACATTTTCTTCATTTTAGTATTAGAAAGAAAGGATATCCCTACCTCCAAGAGCCAATGCTCTGAAACAATGTATATGCCTCTTTCTTTAGCAGATTTGTATTCTCGGTTGTTATCATTTTGCCTTCCCTGGTAGATGAAATGTGTTACAGTTTCATCAAAACACCACCTAGAATAAATGCAGACAATCAACACGTGTTAAATAATTGCTAATTCAGAAGAAGAGAATTAATTTGCACATAGCAGAATTCACCTAGATAGTGAATATTTCTGTTATAATAAATTTGGCCATTACCTGTTTACATATATTGAAACTTTTTTTAATAATATTCTGATACACAGAGATATAGAAATAAAAATCCATATAGTCCTTAACAATTCAAATTGTTACTTCCTCCCCTGTATGTTTAAGCAGAGCGGATATCCTCCAAGTCGCATATATTAAATGCTGTTAGGACAAAAGAAGCATACATTTTGTCGTGTTCTCTGCCTTTTAGAACAGGGTCTAAAATGCCCTCTCTCCCAGAGTTCTGAAAGCATGTAAGACCTGGTTCTGATCCCCAATGTGCTTGAGGCCCTGGTATGGTTTGCTATTTTTATTATTATTTTAGTTTGGGCTATTGTTTGTGCACTTTGTAAACCAACTAGAATCTATTAGAGAGGACGATTACAATAAATTCTAGATTTTTTTAGGACCACTGTTCAAGGAAGATTTACACTTAATGTAAAATTGAATGTAATTCCATAATATGAATAAATGTTAATATTTTATTAGTATAAACATTCATATTAATATATATTCAGTAATACTATAAATATTATATTATATAATTCCAATGTTTTCATGTTTAATTTTCTGCAGCCATCATTAAATATTTCATAAAATGGATTACAATATTATATAGTCCATTTGAATTTCTAGAGCTATTAAAATTTAAATCTATAGTCATTCTAACAATGACTACATTGCTATATATTTAGCTTACAGCTGTATATACCTGTAATCAGCTCCAAGAGATGCAGCAATAGCATTCAATTCACTCTGCTTTTTACTGAGCTTCTTACTCACACAGATGACAACATCTGCTAAAGGTTTTGATTCTTCTTCCTGAACAAGTTAGGAAAAATATATAAATATTTTTGCAAAAAGTCCCCCCCCCCAAACATACAAATTACATCCTTTTGGAACAGAGCTTTGACCCAGTCATCACTTTGTTCAATTTTTAACAAAATCTTTAACAAAATTTTATCTATACTATTTTACCATAGTACTTATTTCTAAATCTTATATCACATATTCAACTAATACCATCTTACAAAAAATTTACATATTTACTTAATCAAAACAATTACCCTTCTATTAACCCACTTTAATTCTTAATTCAATTATTAACTCATAATACAACAATTCTTACCCTAAATCCTCACTATTAACAATACAATTCAAACATATTTATATATCATTATGCTCATTAAATCTTTATTTCATTATTACTTTATCAAATTTAAATCTTATCTTTTAAATTTTAGAAATATAGCAATTTAAACATAGTTCTTAGTTCAAATAATACTTTTTAACACAATTCCCCAATTATCCTAAATTATATCTATTAAACCATACCATTTATATAACACCAATTAAGTAATTTTTGTTTATAAATCAATCATATATTGTTTCAGTTTTCTTTTCTTTTTCACTTAGATAATAAATGCTCAAATTATCACAATTGTTATACATACTTAAACAATATTTCAATTATTATAGCTATCAATTTTCTAATTTAATCTTTTCTTTTATCCATCCAATTAATCCCAATGTACAAAATATATCTTTATTCCACTGTTAATCCCAGTGTAATCATCTTTATTTTTCTCATTGCTAATCTCAGTGTAATCATCTTTATTCACTGTTAATCCCAGTGTAATCATCTTTATTTTTCTCACTGCTAATCTCAGTGTAATCATATTTATTCCACTGTTAATCGCAGTGTAATCATCTTTATTTTTCTCACTATTAATCTCAGTGTAATCATTTTATTTACTATTAATCCCAGTATAATTACCTTTATTTTTCTCACTGTTATTCCCAACATAATCATCTTCTACTTTTATAATTATATTATTAAAAATATTCAAATTATAACAATTGTTATAGGTATTGAACCAATATCCCAGTTATTATAACCATCAATTTCCTCAAATAATATCTTTTAACATCTTAATGTTAAGATTGGTTCATTATATCCATACTATATTTCTTTTAATGTAATCTATTTTTCATATATTTTAGCTTCAATCCCTATTTCATTTCTAAATATCTGTAATGTAATTCTTCTCATATTTGTTTATCTCAATATAGTCATTTTATAAATCCAGGTCCTGGACTTCTTTAAATTTCTTAATATTTTCCAACCTTTTATTCTTTTATCATTCAGTATTAATCTCCATATAATTATCATTATATCATTATTAATCTCAGTATAAACATCATTGTGTTATTGTTAATCTCAATATAATCTCTAGAGACCCTTTTATTATTAATATTCACATGTTCAATTATTTGTTCATTTTTAATCACAATATCATCTTTATTTTAAGTTAGGAAAAATATTTGAACACTTGAGTTTTCAACATTTCCAAGTTTCCAGCATTCATTTGTTTATACAACTCTTTAAAAAGTTAATATTTAAGGAAAGGGAGGGGGCAGGATTCATTTAATTCTTTCTTTCAATAAAATAGCTCCATTTTGCTAAGTTAAAAAAAGGTATCTCCAAACAAAAATGGCACTGCTAGCGCTTTTAGGAGCTCCAGCCCCGTGACTCCGTATAGCCGCTAGAACAGCGAAAATCAGCTATCTAGCGGCTCAAAAACTCTCCCCCAGGGAAAAAGGGGGAGAGAAGAGCAGAAGGGTCTGGGTAGAGCTCCCCTAGACCCCCAGGCTTTTTTTTTTAAGCCTGGGGTTTGCAGGGTGAGAGCTCCCTGAAAGCCCTTCAGAGCTCCAGAGCAGGGACGAGTCTGCTTAAAAATAAGCAGACCGAAGTGTCGCAACCACACCAGCAAAGCAACTAAAAAGATTATAAAGAATTTGGATTTTGGATGCTGGCAGAGTTAATCCAGGAGACTAAAAATGCAAGTATTGTATGTTAACTCCGTTTAAAAAGGCAAAGATGGCGCCTTAGGGCGTGAAAATGAAACTTATAAGTGAAAGTCCTTGTTAACATCAGTAACATTGTTAAAGCTATCGGGTTATTCAAGAAAAAGATTTAAAGTGGAAGTGGAATGGAAAAGACTGTGGTATTGTTTTTAACTAACTTACATCCTTAATTTGTGGAAAATAATTGGATTTAATGACCTGATAGCCAAATTAATACAAACATAAAGAGACAATTGAAAAATGGCTGAAATTAAAGATGGATTATATGAGTCAGCAAATTTACAAGTGGAGACTGTTGAGATAAGACAGATAATTAAAAGAACTATTCAAGATTTTAAATTGGGGAATAATAATGACTTGCTGGCTGGAAAAGAGGAAGAAATTAATCAGGATAATGTGACTTTGGAGGATAAAAGAGACACTGTTGGGGCTAAAATGGAGATTATTATACCGAAAACAGAGGTTTTGGAAGAGGCTTCCATTCAATTAATTGAGAAACAGCAAGAAGACTCTTTACTGCAGGTTGATAAATATTTTGACAAGTTTTGGCCCTACAGACAGAATCAATATTTAAGGAACGAACTGATGGACTACAAATGCAGGAAGAGTCGAAATGGGGGCTTCAAATTAAAAGAAACAATCCCAAGAAGAGAACGAATTCCAAAGACACACCAACTACAATTTCAAACCCCAAAATTTTTGAAAATAAAAGCAGGGGGAGGAGCAATGCCGAAGAAGAAAGTATTATTGAAGAAGGACTGGAAAAAATATAGAAAGAAAGAAAGACTGGTTATATTTTGGAGATTGTCTCATGATGTTAAAAGATTTAATTAAAGTTGGATAACTTTTTGAATTTTATTGTAGTTTTAAAGTATTGAAGTTTAAAGGTGGATAACTTAAAATTTAATGGATAACTTTTTGAAAGTTTTGAAATTTATATTTTGGAGAATGTTCTGCTAATGTATTAAGAGATTTTAAAATGTTTAAAATAAGATTATGGATTATAAGATTTTTTTTTTTTTACAAATGTGAAATGTGATAAGAGAATTTATAAAAGGAAGGTTGAAGTATAATTTTTAGAAGGGGAGTTAACAAGTGTGGGAGAGTTTTGAATTCTGTAATAGTTAGCATATTTTAGCTCATGTTTGTTAAATGCTATATCCTGTTTTTGCTCTGGGAAGTCGGGGGGGGTTGGGTGGGGATAAAATGATGGATTATAATTGATTTTGTAGTGTTTGGTTGTTTGAATATAAAAAAAATAAAAAACTTTTATTTATTTATTTTTAAAAATGGCACTGCTAGCTATTACAACACTGCCCTCAGATGAACTAGATGACATCACTAGAGGAAGAATACAACTCAAGTTTTATGTCAGTAGTATCATATAACTATTACTTACTCTAAATTCTTCCTTAAGGTGAAAGAGTAAGCTCTTGAGGAAGGCCACCCTTAAGAAAAAGGCTAGTAGTAAAATGAATTGGACCCTCAGAATAGAGAGGCCCCATTCCTAAATTACCCATCACAATGTAAAATCTTATACTATGTGGTTTACATATACTTTTTCAAAATGTTTAGGCTTAGGAGCATTTCAGAATTCACTAATTTCAGAATTCTTAACAAGAGCTGCCTTGCTATTTTTCATAACTAAGCTCAATACAGGTATAATTAAGGCTAAAAAAAACCCCTGGATTTTATTTTTAAATGACAATTACAAAGTGATGTCATGCCCTCAGGTCATTGAAGCACACACAATGGTTGCCCATTCAGTTCATATTATGATGTAATAAAAAT